GGCTCCTTACAGTATGTTATATTTTGGGATTTTTTCTCTCTCTCCTAATTGGGTGTTTTTTATTTCCTCATATTTCAAATTCTTGATGTCCTCTATTCTATTACTGAGTCCCTGTAAATTATTATTTTTTCAATTAGTGTATGCTTCATTTCTGACTAGTCTCTTTTTATGTCATTGATATTCTCACTGAGTTCCTTGACATTCTCACTAAGTTCCTTGAAGCTATTGTTAGGTTCCTTGAGCATTATTATAACTATTGTTTTGAACTTTTTATCTGGTAGTTTTCTTGCTTCCATTCCATTTAGTTCTTTTTTCTGGAGATTTCTCCTTTTCTCTCATTTGTGACATATTTATTTTTCTCAGCATTTTGGCTACTTCCCTGTGTTTGTTTCTACATGTTATGTAGATTTGCTATGTCGCCTAGACTTGGTACAGTCACCTTATGTAGTAGGTGTCCTATAGGACTGTGTGGCTCAGCCTCCCCAGTCACCTGAGCTGGACACTCCAGTGTGTGCCTCAGTGTGAGGTGTGTGTACTGTCTTATGGTAGTTGAGCCTTGATTGAATTGGAGTACTGGGAGGGGTTGACACACAGGCCAATTGGTTGTAGGGATTGGGTATGACTACAGCAGAAGAGCTACTGTGCAGGAGCTGATCCTGTGGTGCAGAACTTGCTTCAGTGGGGCTTTGGTGTTCACTAAGTCTGCCCCTTGAGTGTATCATTCTTGGACTTGGTTCATTTATAATCTGGCAAATGAACTCAGGTTGAAGCTGACCACTGGGTGTACTGTCGCAGGGGCCTACTGGGAGGTGCAAAGTCAGCCTCTGCTTGTGCCCTGACTGGGGCCACCCAGCATGAACTACAAAGCAATCTGCAATTGGCTGCTGCTTATATTGATCTTAGAAGTACCCAGGAGAGACCAAGCTCTGAACCTGGCTGTGCTGCCACCAGTGCTGGCCCTGGGGGAACTTGTTGAGATATAAGAAGCATGCTGACACCAACTGCTGTTTTGTGTTTTTTTTGTTTTTGTTTTTTGTTTTTGAGACTTTAGGAAAGTCCCAAGTATGAGACAAGAGAGACCAGTTGTATGGAAAAGCCATTGGAAATGGCTTGGATGAGCCTACAATTAGGGAGGAGTGGGATCTCAGGACATCACCAGGGTGGGTTGAAAAGTGTGAGCCAGGTTGATGGAGACTTAGATATGGCAGCCTATGGGCTCTGTCAGGGGAAGGGCTCAAGAAAGGAACATTGGCCTTTGCTAGCACTTCTGTCTGGGAGATAGCTGCCCCTCCAGCTCTTTCCTTGATTCCAGGCAAGTTAGTTCCTCCCCAAATGTCCCAGGTTCCTTTAAAGCTGCTGCCCAAGCATCAGAACCCAGAGGGAGTGGTTTTGTGTAAGATGAACTGCCTGGGACTCCTGCAGTCTCTGTGTCAGCCACAATCCTCACTGTTTTTTAGAGACCAAAGCTGTGGGGAGTTCACATCCTGGCACTGGAAACCTGGGCTGGAGGCGGGGGGGCCTGGTGTGGGGCATGGACCCCTTGCTCTTCACAGGAGGTCTCCACAGCTAAGATATCCCTCCTGATTTTAAACTGCCACACGTGGGTGTGAGACCAGCCAGTTCGAAATTCTGTCCCACGTCTCCTATCCTCCTATCAGTCTTCACTTGCTTCTTCTTTAGTTCCCTAGTTGTAGGACTTCCATTCAGCTAGATCTAGATTTCAGGTGGTTTTGAACAATTGTTATTCTATATTTTAGTTATAAACTTTGATGTGGTTTTGTTAGGCAGTGAGTATCCAATGCTGCTATCTTGAGAAAGCTGTTGGACAATTTTTTATTGCCAAAAGTTTCTTTTTATTCTTTGAATTTCCACCTTTAAATTTCCCATCCATTTTTGTATATTTTCTAGGTTTTTTTTCATTCTATTTGTATATTAATTATTGTTAATTTAAATTCTAGGTCTAATAATTTGAAATATCTACTCTAATTTTGGTTTTAATGATTGCTTTATCTCTTCAGACTGTGTGATTTTTTTTTTTGCCTTTCCATAACTTTTAATATTTTTTTGTTTACAGCCAATAATGATGTAGTGAGGAAAGGTAACTGAGGTATACAGGCCTTTAGTGTAAGGCAGGGGTCCTCAAACTACCGCCCGCGGGACACATGCAAATACAAATATTGTATTTGTTCCCATTTTGTTTTTTTACTTCAAAATAAGATATGTGCAGTGTGCATAGGAATTTGTTCATAGTTTTTTTTAAACTATAGTCCGGCCCTCCAACGGTCTGAGGGACAGTGAACTGGCCCCCTGTTTAAAAAGTTTGAAGACTCCTGGTGTAAGGTTTTATGTTTATCTTGCTGAGAGATAGGCTGTTTCCTGTTTGCTGTAGCTGTTGTATTAATAGCTGTAATATACTTCCCCCACCACTGTTTTTCATTTTCCATAGAGAATCCATATTAAATAGAACCTGTTTTCTGTTTTAATTCACTATTATTATACAGAGTCATATTGTGGAGACGGTAAAATGTGTAGGGAGGATAAGCACTCTATAATTTTATTATTAGTCTCAGTCTCTTAGAGAGCCTGTGCCCTTAACGCTGTAACTTTCACAAGTGTTACTCAACTTTTTTCCCTTTTAGGTGAGACAGGAAGGTTAGAGGAACCTGGAGTTGTGTGATTCTCTTTTCACATGCAGAAGGCTAGAGGTGTTGGGGCTGTGTAATTCCCTTCCTGCACATCAATTGCTACAGGATTCTGGAGTTTAGTATATCCATTTCCCTAGATCAGCAAGGCTCTGATAATACCAATTAGTCTGGATAAAATTATTTCCTTTGAGGGAAGGCCTTTCTTAAGAAGAAGATAACACACTGGGAATATTTTGATATGGTTACTTTTCCTCCCCTCCTCCCCCCCCCCCCCCCCCCCCCCCCACTCTGCTGCCAGAATCATAAGATCATAAGGGAGATTTTCTCATATCATCACTTGGAAAACCTGATGGGGCTCCTGGAGGTATAAATCATGAAAGTGTAAGGACTCCCTAAGTACCTTTCAAGCTATTTTCACATTGAGTTTCCATCACTCAATTACTCTTTAAATGCTCCTAACATATCCAGCTATTGCTATTGTTCCCTATATGCTATCATTCTCTGCATCTGCCTATATTTCCTATTTTGGGGATAGCTGGGCTCTGGGATTTCAACCTGAGATGGATTTAAGAGTTGTTGATTCCTGCCCTACCGGTTTGGCTCAGTGGATAGAGCATCGGCCTGTGAACTCAAGAGTCCTAGGTTTGATTCCGGTCAAGGGCATGTACCTTGGTTGTGGGCACATACCCAGTAGGGAGTGTGCAGGAGGCACCTGATTGATGTTTCTCTCTCATCGATGTTTCTAACTCTCTATCCATCTCCCATCCTCTCTGTAAAAAAAAAAAAATCAATAAAATATATATTTTTTTTAAAAAAAGAGTTGTTGATTCCACTTTTTTATTGTTATGAGGACAGAGTGACAACTTCTAAGCTCTACATGTCAAACCATAAACCAGAAGTGTAAAGAGTGCCTGAGAAAGGCCCCTGAGCTGATTGTTGTCTGAATCCAGTGGCACCTGGCAGAGCCATGCCCTGGAAACATACCTTGCCAGAAGCAGGTGTGTTGTCAGTCTGACCTTTAGCTCAGGCGCCAGGGGGTGGATTTCATTATCTAAATTTGGCAGGCACCAGGAACAAACACAATTATCCAGGCCCACCCAGAAGTGATGATTACAAAGAAGCCACAAGAATTCACATATTTTCTATATCTTAAACTTTAGTAAAACTTCCTGGTATCTTACTGTATAAAATAAATGCACTGTATCAGCTCTAGGTCACTGTCTATCAGAGGACAGCTGTCCCACCTGGTTCCAGCTTTCCCTACTGTCTTTGTGTCTGTCTCTTTCATTTTATCAATCCTCCTTCGCCCCTACTCAGGACTCCTGTACACTCTCTAGCCGTGGTGGTCGCGGAAAAGAGAGAAATATTTATACAGAAGCCCTCTAAACTTCTCTCCTTTATGACATGCCTACCTTAGTCAGTCCTTTTTTGACTTCTCATAACATATTTGTAACTTTCCTGGCATTAATTTTGTTTGTCTTTGCTTAATTAACATTCCATTTTTATGGGAGATTTCAGTCTTGAGATTCTAACTTCTTTACAGTAAGACACCACAACTTATTTTTTATGCTTAATAACTTATGAATTTCATTAAAATTTGGTGCATATTAAAATATTTCATAATTAATTTGTTGTCTTGATCCTAGGTTTTAGTGAGAGAACAAAAATCTTCGGGAAAAATAATGGACCCCTTCTCTCAAATTTTCTATTTGTAAAAAGAGTAGGATTTTAGTCAAGCAATGTACATAAGACCTGCTTTCCTACAGAAATAATTCTGTCTTTGACATTTCTAAAAACAGCATCTAAAACAGAATTTGTATACATAAGCAGTAGTTTGATTACTGAGTAATAATAATAGTTATACGGTACTTTACTGCAGGCAGCACTTCCTTTATTATTGTTGACCTCACGAGAACCTTCTAATGAGTGGGTATATTTTTATTTCTACTTTGTAATTGTGGACAATTAGACTTGGAAAAGTTAGCTGACTTCTCCAAAATCAAAAAATGATGTAGAATTCAAAATATGTGGACTCTAAACCCACGTTTACATGACTATAGATAACATTATTAACTACTCTGCTACATGTAGCACATACTTTTACTCTGTTACACGACCTTTCAATATGTCTCAACTCTATAAACCCTACAATTTCACTGGGTTAAGGATCCAGATTACTCACGGTGGTACCACAAAAGCACTGCTAAACCTTACCCTTTTTCAAATAAATTTGTCTTTATCTACCCTTCTGACTTAAAATTTAAAACCCCTATTGAAAAGAAATAGACTAGCATTACTGGCCCAAGGTTTCCATTTTTTTCAATACACCAAGTTTTTTGAGGATAGTATACGTACTATTGGTCAGCAGGTGGTTCTGCTGCAGTGGATTGAGGGTAGGAGCGCCCCCAAGGCCTGGCTGGCTAGCCAGGGCTGCATGAGTAATTCCATGTTGAGGTCCTGGAGCAGCAAGAGGAGACTGCATCTTATCCTTATCCCATGAGCATTCACTTCCACCTAAAAAAACATTCATATGAACAGACTGTTATTTGACAATATTCCATGAAAAGGCTGGTTAAAAATTCCTTTTTAGGATTATAATTATTAATATTACTTCTTAAAAATATTATTAAACATTGTAAATCATGATTGTTCTCAAAGCTTTCAATAGTCTTGGATTTAAGCTGCTTCGGAAAAGACTAACAACTCTCACTAATAATATGGGCCACTTGCATTACAGGTAGTCTAAACAAATCTGGAATCATAATTAATAGCTTTTGAAAGCATTTATCTGTTGAAGGCCATTAACTGAACACTACTGGCTTCAACCCTATGAAACACATGTGCTATATTTTAATGAAGAACTGTTGCTCTTCATTCAAAAAGAATACACTCATTTTTAAGAGTATGATAAAATTCAAAAATATTTAAGAGACTAAATGATCAGTTATTTTGTTCTCAGGTCCAGCCCTCAAAAGGCTAATCTCTTCATACACATCAGACTTTTGTATAGAATAAGCTGGATAAAATATAAAACCATGGCCCCCAATTTAAAATTGTACTTTCATTTTCTCATCCATGCTTGAGAGTGAAGTAATGTGTGCATAAATGCAGACTACTATATTATGGCAGTGATCTACAGTGGTATAGCTATTTCACTTGGCACTTAGCATACTATGGGGATGGAACCATTGCTTAAAACCATATAGAAAACAACCACAGAATAATTTCCTCTCACATACTTTTAAGGAAAAGTCTTTAAACAGAGGGGTACAGGGTTTAATTCCAGTCACTTCAGTTGCAGATAGTCTGGCTTTAGAAAACAGAACGGTTGTGTGGACAGTTCCATCTATATGCTTGATTTGGCTCATTCATCTAGGGGTCAGTGGTTCAGCTCTCATTCCCATGTTGGTATTGTGACATTAATATCTCTACCTGGTTGACTATTCCATATGCTGCCTGAAACATTGATGCTGTTTTGTGGTGGAGTTTTAGCCTGGGAACCTTGGGCACTCTGTAAAATATGTGCATTTACTGAAAAGAAAAGGTAAAAAGAAATCATCATGCTCATATTCTTAACATTCAACATTGTACTTATTTTCACTTCCTTGAGTTCCCTTCCAGGCTTTGTTCATGGAGATACTCATTTTAACATTGTAAAAACTCTGTCATGTTGCTTCAGATATCATATTTACTAAGTGTAATGGCTACATAGTAATCTACTGAGTTTAATGTACTAAAATTTATTAAACATCAGACTTTGAGTTTGTTTCAATATTTTTACTATTATAAATTACACCATAACAACATTCATTTGAACTATTTCTTTAAAGTCAATTAATTTATGAGTCAAAAAGGTTGAATATTTTTATACATTTTCTCCCAAGTGCCACATTTACATAAACAGTTTCTAGAGTTGAACATTTTTAAGGAAGTATTTTCAGAGCCAATTGGTATTCTTCCTGAAGATTTAAAATTTATTTAAGAAAACTACCTACTAGAATCTCTGCCAGGCTTTTTTTTTAAAAGAAAACAACACACACACACACACACACACACACACACACACACACACACACACACACACCTTTCTACCCATTCATTGACTCCTATGCCAGATCTGGGAATCTACATCCTCCTAAGCACTATTTCAACACCCCTTGTGTCAAAGTCAATCTCTAATCCAAAATGGGGGTCTTAGCAAGAACCAAGATGGCGGCATAAGTAAATGCTGGTACTCATTGCCTCCCACACTACATCAAAATTACAACCAAAACCCAAAGCAACCATCATCCAGAACTGCCTGATCTGGCTGAATGGAAGTTCTACAACTAGAGAAGTAAAGAAGAAAGTACATTGAGACTGGTAGGAGGGGCAGAGGTGCGGAATACTCTGGTATGGCACCCACTTGTGGTGTGTTTTTAATTGGTAGAGATATTTTGGCTTCAGAAGCCTCCCATGAGGAGCAAGGGGTCCCAGCCCCATACCAGACCCCTAGCCCAGGGTTCCAGGGCTGAGAAGAGAAGTATCTGCAACTATGACTGTAAAAACCAGCGGGAATTGTGGTTGAGTGACATAGAGGCTGCTGGAGACCCAAGTAATTCCTCTTAAAGGGCCCATGCATGGACTTACTTGGTCCTGCTTGCTCTGTGCTCCAGCACTGGGTGGAGGCATTGGGGGAACCAAGGACATTCAGGGAGGAGCTGGATTGTCTGGCATTGGGGCAGGATCTCAGGGGCAGCTTTCTTCTAGCCAGGGGTGCTCAAGGGGGTCATTGTTCCTATGTTAGGACCTCCCCCATCTCAGAGCTAACTGGCAGCCATATCTGAGTTCCCACCAGTGTGGCCCACTCTGTTAGCTCCACTGTGGTGATTCCTGGAGACCATGCCCCATCCAACTTGAAGCCCCAACTAAGCTTTTTGCAGCAGCTTTTCCATATGAATGACCTGTCCTGGCTCAGGCTTCAGCCTTTCTTAAAATCTCTTAAACAAGCAGCAGCTGGCATCAGCTTGCTCCACACCTATCAATAAGAGGCCCAAATTCTGGCACTAGCACCAGCCTGCCTTGCTTCACAGCTTGGCCTAGTCTGGGGACTTCCAAGTTCAATACAAGTAGCAACCATCTGCAGATTGCTGGGTAGCTCCTGCTGGGTGGCCAGTTAGTAGCTGACTTTGCACATCCTGGGAGGCCCCAGAGTCAGTGCACCTGGTGGAGAGCTTCAGACCATACCAGATTATAACTCTACACATCCACAAGCAACACATTCAGGGGCAGACTCAGTAAGCACCAAAATCCCACTAAAGCAAGTCCTGCTCCATAGGGGTGTCTCCTGCACAGCAGTTCTTCCATTGTAGTCGCAGCTGGTCCTCCTAGCCAACTGGCCTGGAGGTCAATTCCTCCCAGTGAAGCCATCAGCAATCAAGGTTCAACTACAACAAGACAGTGCACACATCCCACACAGGGGTGCACCTGGAGCATCCAGCTTATGTAACAGGAGAGGTTGAGCCACTGGGATCTACAGGACACCTACTACACAAGGCCACTCTATCAAGTCCAGAAGACCTAGCAGCTCTACATTACATATAGAAAGAAACACAGGGAAGCCACCAAAATGCGAAGACAAAGAAACATGTCACAAATGAAAGAATTGAAATCTCCAGAATGAAAACTAAATGAAATGGAAGCAAGCAAACTACTAGATACAGAGTTCAAAACAATGGTTATAAGGTTGCTTAAGGCCCTAGCCAGTTTGTCTCAGTGGAAAGGTCCAAAGTTTGATTCAGGTCAAGAGCACATAGCTCAGTTGCAGGCTCAGTCCCCGGCCCTGGTCAGGGCACATGCAGGAGGCAACCAATCCATGTGTCTCCCTCACATAGATGTTTCTCTCTCTGTCTCTCTCCTTTCTACTCTCTCTGAAAATCAATGGCAAAATGTCCTTAGATAGGAATTAACAATAACAACAAAAAGTATGGTTGCTCAAGGCTTTTAATGAGAGCTTCAAAAGACTCAAAGAGAGCTTCAAGGGAATAAGTGAGACTTTCATAGATCTTAGTAAGAATTTTAGACATGAAAAAGGAGCAGTCAGAAATTAAGCATACACTAACTGAAATATATAATAATGTACAAGGATTTAACAGTAGAGTAGAGGATTCTGAGAATTATATCAATAATTTGTAATATGAGGAAGCAAAGAACACCCAATCAGAACAGCAAAAAGAAAAAGGAATAATCCAAAAAATACCAAGATACTGTAAGGAGCCTCTTGGACAACTTCAAGCATATCAACATTCACATCATGGGGTTGCTGGAAGGAGAAGAGAGGGAGCATGAAATTGAAAATCTATTTGAAGAAATAATGACAAGAAACTTCTTATACCTGGTGAAAGAAATAGACTTACAAGTCCAGGAAGTGCAGATAGTCCCAAACAAGATGAACCCAAAGAGGCCCACACCCAAGACACATCATAATTAAAATTCCAAGGGTTAAAGACAAAGAGAGAATCTTAAAAGCAGCAAGAGAAAAACAGTTAGTTACCTACAAGGGAGCACCCATACTACTGTCAGCTGATTTCTCAACAGAAAATGTGCAGGTCCGAAGGGAATAGCAAGAAATATTCAATGTGATGAAAAACAAGGGCCTACAACCAATATTTCTCTCCTCAGCAGAGCTATCATTTAGAATTAAAGGTTAGATAAAGAGCTTCACAGACAAGAAAAAGCTAAAGGAGTGCATCATCACCCAACCAGTATTACATGAAACGTTGAAGGGCATTTTTTAAGAAGAGGAAGAACAAGAGGAAGAAGAAGAAGAAGAAGAAGAAGAAGAAGAAGAAGAAGAAGAAGAAGAAGAAGAAGAAGAAGAAATATGAATAATAAATGGCAATAAGTACATATCTACCAACAATTGAATCTAAAAATCAAAATAAATGAACAAAATAAACTGATGAATAAAATAAATAAAACCAGAGGCATGGAAACATGAAACAGACTGACAAATCTCAGAAGGAGGAGGGTCGGGGGGGGGAGGGAGAGATTAATTAAAGATCTTATATGCATATATGCATTACCTATGGATACAGACAATAAGGTGGTGAAGGCCTGGGGTGGGGCAGGAACCGAGTGGAGGGGGGCAATGGGGAGAAAAAGGGAGACATCTATAACACTCTAAACAATAAAGATTTTTCAAAAATGTAAGTATTTGCCAATCTCCAACCAGATGAGTTCCAGACAAGGAAAGACCAGATTTTGTAGCATCATATGTAAGGGCTGAGGAGTACCTGCTCCTGCCTGTATGGACAAAGATTTTCCAATCAAATGGCGAAGTTATAAGTAGCTAAATGTTCAGTTCTTGCTATAAGCCACTCAGATTCCATGCATGGAAGCTTAGAAGGTAGGAAATTTGGTTGAATTGGATATACTGGCTTAATGCACCAGAAATCTTTACCTTAATCATGCTGAGGTTTGGTGTGTTCATTCAAAACAGGCAACTCCCTATGATTACACTAATTGTTCTCTTT